AAAACAAATCGGAGGCAGGAGAAATTACCGGGACATGAAGTGGGATGGGCATGAAGAGTAGAGGAGGGGAATATTATAAAACAGGAAGAACAGAACGAGGAGGGAAAGCGGGGGAGGGGGGGCGCAGAAGATGTGAAAGGGAAGTAAGACAAAAGAATAGGGACGGCGATGGAAGCCACAGATCGGCGGAGCCACAGGCCTGGGGCTCGGCTTGCTCTTCACCCACCCCTTTACTGCCTCAGCCCAACAAATTCTATGCCCAACGTCAAGCACTCTCCAGTGTTTGGGCGCCCAGCATTTGGCTTGCCCAGACCAGCTCTGCACCCTTGCAGGCTGGATGAGGGGCTACCCCACCCTAAGCCCGGCATGAGCAACGGACTCCCCTGAGCCCCCAAGCCTGGCCCCAAAAGTCATAAATCACAAGCAGAGGTGTCCATGGCTCCCTCGCTGTTGCTGGGATCTCAGTGTCAGGGGAGCCAGGGAACAGTTTTCTGTCTGTGTTAACTTCACAGACAGGACAAAACAGCATGAAAGAAATCAGAGAATGTCTATAGGAGCTGAACTCTGAAAATCCCCGCTCCGCCCTCAAATGCTTCAATATTAAAAAAAAAAAAAAAAAAAAAAGCCTTAGGAGCTTCAGACACTGTATTAATTAGTGCAACCACCCATGAAAAGTTGGGTTTGGAGCGGCATTCTTTGCCTTGTGTGAAAAACCAAGTCTAATAAACAATTGTTAAGTTGGCCTGTTGCCGCTGGTAAATTACATAGCATTAAAAAAATAATGCTTTTCATATTAAGCACTAATTAAAGGTTGGGACAGCTTTAAAATAAGAGAGGGAGGGGGGAAATCAAAGAAAGTATAAAACTGTTCTTTCAAGAGTTATGGGAGGTTAATAAAGTATGGCTGTTAGACGGAGTCTGCCTTGCCCCTAGCTACAGCCAGGCTGGAGCCGCCACAATTGGGTCTCAATAAGATAATGATATTCCTTTCTCTGCTATTAAAAGCCTCCCAGTGCAAACTTAAAATGATTTATTTAATTTAGGAAATTATGAGGTGTAACTTCAAAGCTTGGGCCGTTAGTAATGGAAAATACCAGGTTGTTTAAAATTATAATAATAATTGTTTGGAGGACTCAGGACATCAAAGTGTTTTCATCAACAAATGCGGCGAGGTTGGAAAGTCAGAGGTGTGTGGAGTTTGGATTTGACTATTAGGGCCTTATCAGGGCAGCATTCAGGAGTCTGCAGCGAGTCCTCCGCTCCGCTTTGAAGCGGGCTATTGCAGACAGTCGTTTTACTGCTGCTCATTTTGTTCTGGGAGGATGGAGGGGAGAGGGGGTGTGGGGTGAGGGGCGGGCATGGGGGCCCGGGGGTGGACAGGAGGCTTTTCCTCCTTGCTGTGACTACTTTATTTCATTAAAGCGGCCTGTAGCATCACCAATCTCAGATTTTTTTGTTGTTCTTACATGAAAGGGGAAGCGGGCACAATCGACTTCACCAACCAGGCCCTGTGATTTTGGGGAGGGTGTGTGTGTGTGTGACGTGGGTTCCTTTATAAATGAGGTTTATGCTTATTTCCAGCCCCGCAGTGGAAAAGGAATGGGGGTGGGGCAATGGCCTCTCCAACCCGTGGCAAATGAGAGGCTTTCATAGCAAAGAATGGCCGTGGGAGTTTTCATTCGGTCAGACAAGGTTGCGCTCAAAGGCCGGCATCCTCTTTTCAGTCGGGTCAGGCAGACGTTTCGCCAGCTCCCCGCTCTCAGCCAGGCCTCAGCGGCCTACCTCCTACAGCCCCTGCCCCCGCATCACCAAGACAGGACCGAGAGGGGGAGGGGCAGGCTGAGCCCCCAGGGCCACTGGGATAGAGATGCCCCTCAGCAATGAGGGCCGCGGAGCCGGTGCCTAACTCCAAAGCAGGCTCTCCAACACCCCTGCCTGCTTTCTGAGCGCTCTTTCTTATGCCCTTTCCCAGCCATCGCCCGCCATAGGTCTCCAAGTTCGGTGGCCTCAGTGGACGGCCTCTCTGGGCATCTGTTTTACCGACTTGTCTCAGACAAGTCTCCGAAGGGACGTGTAAAGAATACTGGTTCAAGAAAAATATCCCCTTCCTCCCCGAAGCCGGACTCCTCAGCTCCATAAATGCGAATTCCCGTCCCTTCTTCCCTATTTTAAAAAGCAGAGCTTCCTATCTTTAAAGTTTTTTTTTGTTTGTTTGTTTGTTTTGCTTTTGTGAAAAGCATTGAAGTATGGAAAGGGCAGGTGTATTTATTTGTATGCCAGGCTACACTGGCAGTCGGCGCAGAGGTGATCAAAGACTCCGTGGGAGCATCTGGAGCTTGAATTTGCCAGTTGTCTCTGCGCGGTTGGGTCCTGGGGAAGCGAAGGTCTTGTAGCCTTCACAGGTTGCCAGTCTGGTCTCCGGCCTGGCCAGGGGGAGACCCATCCCAGACAGGAGGGCGGTAAGCAGCCCAGAGCACAGCTTTCGGGTCTGTCCCTTGGACGCCAGCTGGGGAAGCCCATCCACTCCTAGCGCAGAGCCCGGTTCCTTCGGAGCCAGATCAATACGTGGCGGCCTTCCTTTCTAAGTATCGGATCTGGGATCATGTGCGTGGTACCCAGCTAGCCTGATTGCAGTTTACCTCCTACTACGAACGGGTTCTAGGAGCCTTACTCCAGACTTAATACCTTACCCCCAGAGGCAAGCTGAGCCCGAGGCCGGCGTCTCCAGGTCCCTACCCTGGCTATCACCGCCCGATGTTACTGCTCCATGCGGCGCCGGGAAGGAAGCTCGGTGGACGAGTTAATTAGAGACCCCTTGGCGGCTGACGACGAAACCAGGATGGACTTTGGCCTTTGAGAAACGCATCTTTTAAATGAATGTGGCAGATTCTGGCCTGGAATTTGGACTTCAGGGACGAAAGGGCCCAACGAGAAGCAGAAGCGCGAGTTTTGGTGGCTCTGGGACCCGCCCACGGCTCGCTGAGGGCGGTAACTGGGCAGCAGGACCTTCTTGTCCCATCTCCAGTGGGTGCCGGATCGGGCTTGGGCCGAATAAAGAAGCCCGACCACCATGAGCTCCAGGCTCACACAGACATGGGTTCCACCTCCAGAGTGAGTGCCACGCGCTGGCAATTCCCCGAAGTGCCCAATTCTCCAGTACAGTCCTCACACCAACTTCTCACTCCCCTCATCTGTTACCAAGGTGACAGCAGCGGCTCCCACAGACTTGAGTTTAAAATCCGTCTTAGCCTCCCCACCTTTATTATTATTTTTATGGCTATGCCTCAAAACCCAAGCTTAGTTGGTGCAGGGAGGGCACCTAAGTTCCCGGGGTAGGTGGGCTGGTTAGCCCTCTTCAAAGAGAAAAACGGGCTCTTTTGGACTCTTAAGTCACTCAGAACAGAGTGACCCTTCCCGCCTTGCCCCTCCACCCTCTCAGGCCTCCCTAACCCACAGAGCTCTCTCTCTGTGCCCTTTTCTAAAACTTCTAAGTTGTTTTGGTGGTTGTGAATTCCCGAGTTCCAGATTTTCCCAGGACCAACCATGTACGAGATAGTAGGATTCTGAGGAGCACAGCATCACCACTTTTTGAAAGTTGGTCTTTACTACAGTTAGATAAACTTTTAAGGGCGATTTCAACAGCTCCTTCCTGAGCCGCAGAGGCTGCCAGTTGACTTTTCCAAGTATCCCAGGACTTGAGATGACTCCTCTATCACCCAAACCTGGCCACAACTCGATTTTGATTTACGTTAATGGGGCAATTGAAAGTGCCAGTTCCCCTCCCTTATCTGGCTGGCTGGGTTTTCCCTGACCCTCAATCCAGCTAAGATTGCAGGGCTTTTTAAAATAATTGTGAGTTGGGACAAACTTTACTGCAATAAAACATTTTAATTTAGTTCAGAGTAAGAGATAAGAAATAACTTCAATAAAATATATAAAATTATACAAGATACCCTTTCAACGGGATAAAAATATGCTGGGAGAAGAGATGGATGGGAAGGTTAAAAAAGAAAGAAAGAAAATCAGGGAGCCCCTGACAGTGCTGTCTGACACCATTTCCAGCCAAAAAGATGGCTTCTCCTCCAACACCTTAGAACATAGGAATTTCTCCAATAAGTTTAGCACATACATTAAGTACACATAGAGAGAAAGCATGTTCTTTTTTTTCTTCCTGATTCTATGGACCGAAGACTATTTAAAATACAGGTAACGGTTACAAGACGCTCATTTTTGGGAGATTTCGCCTCCTCCAACCGTCTCTGAGAACTGATGTAATTAGCATTTCACAGAAATCAGTTCTTCCAAACACGTTTTGCCTTCTATCCCCCCCCCTTTTTTCTTTTTCACTCCAATGAGCGAGGATGGAGTTAGGAAGCAATTCTCGGGGTTATTCTCATCCTCCTCTCATTGACCCTTTAATTTAATAATATGCAAAAAAGGAGGGAAGAGAATCAAATGTGCATACATGCTACACACCTCCCCCCACTTGTTAGAATCTATCTGAATCTACTTCCTGTATGCACCTTGTCTATTTCTGGTACGTCCTCCACAAGCAAGTCCACCATTCTCGAAAGTTCTAGCAAAGTCTGCAAACAATCTCTTTCCCTTTAAGAAAATGCAGCAAACACAATATCTTAAGATGCTATCTAGAAAAGTGGATAAATGTACATATAAACTTTGCCTTTCAAAATAACTTGAATTTTTACATCTGGCATATAAAAAGTCTTATATTTTATTATATATTTATACATAAAAACTAGCAGAGCCAATATTTGTGAGAGGACAAGGGGACATTTGGAAGATTATGAAAACAGAACAGGTCTTGGCGCCTCTCACCTAAATAACAAATGCACTCAGTATCAAGCGGCCCTGTGGGCCTGTGGCTTAGGGTGGTGAGGCAAGGTCTTCGTTCAGGAGCTGGCTGAGCACCACCTTCTTGGAGAGGGAGGGAAATGCTTTTATGCAAACATCTATCCTGGAGTCTGTCCATCTGGTCTTCCTTAGGATAGATGGTACATGCCATATCCAACCGGTGTGGCATAGAGTCCAACAGGCGGGATGGGAAGCACAGGTCTATGGAAGGGGTAGGATGCTCCATATATGGAAGCCGCTTGCAGGGGTGAGTTGATAGGGAAAGGCAGACTGAAGCCGGAGGGCAGCATAGGTTTGGCAGCCATTTTCAGCTTTTCCAGTTCCGCCTCCTGCAGTCTTTTCGCCTTAGCCCTTCGGTTCTGGAACCAGATTTTGACCTGTGTTTCTGTAAGGTTCAACGAGCTGGAGAACTCGGCCCGCTCGGCAATGGAGAGGTACTGTTTCTGGCGGAACTTGCGCTCCAGGGCTAGAAGCTGGGATGTGGTGAAGGGTGTACGTGGCTTCCGGTTGGTCTTGTGTTTCCTCAGGGTGCAGGTGGTGGGGCTCATGTGTCCTAAAGGACAGAGAGGGGAGTCAATTAGCAAACGTGGCATTCTCTCCCCTCTTAAGAGAACACATAAACTTTTTTTCATTTTTCAAAAAGGTACCTTTGTCAAACCTGTGTGTGTGTGTCGAAGTAATAGTGGAAAACCACCACATTTAAACGGTAGTTACTGTATTTTTATATCAGTTTGAGTAATGAGGTCATGAAACTTTTTATATGAAAAACATATTGCATTGCAGAAAATGGAAATAGAAACCACTACTAAAGACCCTCTGTAAGTCACAGGAGCTGAGAACTACCTAAGAAATAAAACTTCCTCAGAATCTAGTATCTTTTGTCTTTCAAATGGGGGTCTGGGCTCATACCTGTTCTCAATAAGACCCACACATCAGGAGGAAAAGAAAAAAGGGTACTAGCTACTGGGGAAGCCTTGGACCACTCTCTGAACCAGGAAAGTTGGGTTGCACCAGCCTATTTGAAGAATAATCATGCAGATAAGGCCTGTGGTTACCTAACAGCATCTATGGATGGAAGGGCAGATCCAAGCAATAAACAACCACACAGCTGTCATTCCATCCACCCTACAGATTATAAAACCCCAACATCATCTTACAGATCTGGATGTGGGGTAAGTTTCTTGGCGGTGTGCTTTGGCAATATAAACTTTACAAAGATGGAGGGAAAATTAGCCAGCTCATAAACGTACATGTCAAAGGAAATCACGTCGCCTCAGAACCTCAAGCCCACAAGGATGGCATCTTAGTCTCTTCTCTCCATCCCATGGATTAGGGCAAATATGTAAATGATTTATTTTTGTTATTGGAATTGAGAAGTGGGTAATAACAAGCAAAATAAAGGCATGCCAACAGCGTCCAGACTCTGTTTAAAGCCTCTTGTTACAGGAAGCACAAGGATGGGGCCTCAAGGTGATTCCACAGCAGCAACTAATTTTGGTCTTGTTTTCCTTGAGGCTATGGGAGGAGAGTAAAGTGACAGGAATAGAACGCTAAACAATTATTTTTCTGCATTTGGCTTTTACAAGTTATCCTAACTTCCCTAATGTAGCCAGAGTGGTAACTCCTGTGTATTCGCAGGGGAATGTAACATTTCTTGTTTAGTTACTTTGGTGGCCCAAAGAAGAATTTACACTTCATCCTTGAGAGTGACAAGCACAAGTCCCAACCCAGCTCCTGTCCTGGTTGCCACACTGTTAGCTGTAACTTTACCAAGTGGAGGGTTCTGTGATCAGAAAACAGCCATCTCGGAGAGAAATGAGATAGGCTTCCAAAGGCCTTGACTTCTGCATGTGCCAGTCCCCAAGCAGGCCAAGCACCAAGCTGGAGACCTGTGGAATTCTCCCCTTCCCAGGCCCACCCCAAGCTCCCTTTCAGACGCCGAACTCTTAACTGCATTCACATGCTGCGGGGATATACAGGAGAGTTTTGAACCAGGGTAGCTTAGGCCATTCCTGGTGTGGCATGGAGACTTACAAAGCACAGGCCATTAGGATTGTGCATGTGTGTGTGTGTGTGTGTGTGTGTGTGTGTGTGTGTGTTTTGAAAAGAGGACGACTGCCCCTACCCCATTTTATACCAGCCAAAGAAAGCATGTGATATACAGGGCAAAATGTTTATCCTGCTTTTTACTTAACAAAGCCAGGTCCTGGGTGGGTGGACCCCTCCAACCCCAGCTCCCAGCTTGGTAACCCTTGGTACCCTGGGGCTCTTCCTGTGGACACTTCCAGGCCCCAAGCATAAATAAAAAAAAAAAAAAAAAGAGCTGTGTTTTCAAATGAAACAGTCTCTGAAAGCCCCTAGTTTCCCTTATAGACAGGGAAAACAGCCTACTGGGAGATATTACAGAGCTGATGGGGGAAAGGCCTACCAGACCGCTAGGCCTAAATATGCCAGGATTTCTGACCTTTGGCCACCACTCCATTTAAGGCTGGAAGCCTGGAAGTGTGGTGGGGCATTGCCCCAGGCCTAGGAATACAGGCACTCCAAATTTGTTAAACAAGTTAAGACTCTTCATGTTTCTGAGCCTCCATTTCACTGTCAATAAAATGGATAAACACTACTTATCCCTCAGGGTGGCTGGGAGTACTACATTTTGGAGTGCCCAGAACCCCATTTGGGGAGTGAGGAGTAAATAAATGTTCCCAAGAGTTTTTCCCCTCATGGGCCCAAACTGCTGATCCCTCTGAACTCTAAGAAATGGCCTCTCCTGTGAACAAGAGGCTCTCAGCTGCTGCACAAAGGAGATCAGATAAGATAATGTAGTGAAAAGCGCTGTGCAAACTTGAGTTTAAATTCTTTAAGTCCTTAATCTCTGCGCCCTTTCAGCCTTTCAGAATTTCCAACAGGGTGGAGAGAGACTGCCAGAGGGGACAGCCGCTGACGCCTGGGTATATGGTCTCGTTTTGTTCACAAAATACCACGTATCTCTAGTCCCAAGGCTGGAAAGGTGGAAATGAAGACAAGTTCTCTTCCAGCTTAGTTTGGAAAGTCCCTCCCCAAGCTCTCTCCCTCTTTCTCAACTTTCCCAAAGTTGAGGGAGGGGTAAGTAAGGGGGTGAAGAAAAAGCCAGTAGAGCAGATAAACCTCAAAAGGCCAAGAGATAAACCTAAACAAAGCTGTAAAAGGGACCCAGGACCCCAAAAGGATGCTAAGCCTGGAAAGGAAGTCAGCAAGCCTCACTGGGAGAAGTGGGGTGCAGGTGAAAAAGATCAACACGGTCATTGCCCTCAATGGAGGGGCAGGGAGACAGCATGGACAACAGATCCCCATGCCCAGCGCAAGCACGGATGGCGACCTGGGGCGAGCGAGTGCAATTCTCTAAGCACTAGCTGAAGGGGTAGCCACAGGTGGCATGCCCCTGCGTGTACTTTGAGGTTCTAGCAGGCAGCCAAACGTGGCGAGCTTGTGGCCACCACACTGTACATTCTCAAGTTCTGAAGGAATGCTGTTAATTATCACTGTGAACCCATTAGAGCCCATGAGGGTCTGGCCCAAACTAGCTCCCGCAAAACTCAGAACCTCGACAACAACGAACTAGAACGCGGAGATGCTTCCTTTCCGAACCAGCCTCTGCCACCATCCCTCCGTAGGATCTGCCTTGGACAATGTAGAGTTCGAAGAAAACCAATGATTAACTTCCATTTGTCTGATCTTTGCAGTGGGGCTCCCTTCGCAGGGCTGCCTATAGAATCTGAAGATCAGCAAAACACATTTCGATACTCATTAAAAGCGGATCCCAGCTCGGCGCGGTGGTGCACGCCAGTAATTCCAGTACTTGGGTGGTAGAGGCAGGAGGATGAGGAGTTCAAGACCATCCTGAGTTCCAGGCCGGCACAGGCAACAAGAGACCCTGACGCAACCAAACAAAACAGTGACTCTCCCTACTTCCTGGACAGGTACCACGGTGGTCAGCGAAACACAAGCTTGAAGAATCTGGAGCAAGGGACTAAAGGCTGCAGAAACCAAAAACTGGGCTTTGGTTTTCAAATGCCAGCCAGCGCGCAGGTACTGTAGGTTCCGCGCAGCTAGGGATTCTGGGATGCGCAACTCTTGCTGAACTGGGGTACCAAGGGGTCAAAAGCATCATCGTGTTAACACCCGTCCCCAGCCCCTCTGGGACCCCACGCGCGGGTCCAGCCCGGATCCCGTCCCTGGCGCGCACTCACTGGGCGGCGGGGAGTATCTGCCGGGCTCCTGTATCCACGCCGCTCCGTCTTCGGAATTTTCCGACTTGACCGAGGCGGTCTCGAAGGGCTTGACGAGAGGCCCGGGACTGTGCGCGTCCCGGACGCCGTGTCCCGGCAGCAGCAGCGGCCGCAGCACCGCGCCAGCCGATGGGCAGTCGGGTGGCACGGCGGGCGTCTCCTTGGGCGGCTTCTTGTCGGACATGAGCGCCTCCACGCTGAAGGGCAGGCTGGAGACCTTGACCCTGCGCTCCTCCGCGCCGCCCTCGGCTCCCCCAGGCCCCGGGCCCGGGCCGGCCAACACCGCGGGGCCCTCTTCATCCGACGAAAACAAGTCACTGCCTTTGGCCGGAGAAGCCATGACGTTCTGCGCCGAGGAGCTGTCGGCGCGCGACTCCGAAGGCAACTCGCAAGCGAGGACTCCAACTTTTGGGGAGGGGGGGTAGTCGGCAGGGGCGCGCCGGCAGCTCAGCCTGGCTTCGGAGGGGAAGTGGGAGACTCGGCTCAACCAATTGGCGACGGCCCTGCTCCTGACGCCACGGACGCTGGCTTCCGATTGGTTCTCCCTGGAGAGGCTGGGGCCCTCCTTCTCCCCCCCCCCCGCCCCGTTTGAAATAAATTAGGAGTTAATTACAGGAGCAGTCAGCAGAGTTGTTATTAGGCGATCCCTCAAGGGTTATAATCGCCCAAACTGAAAAGTCCAAGGCGTAATTAAAGCCGATTGTTTAAAGAGGAAGCTTGCCGAGTCTTATTTCTTCTGTCTTTTAACCCCTCTTTAAAGTATACCCGGTGCCCATCCCACACGCTCCCGCCTGAGAACGTTGGAAATCCACAGATGGCATTCCTGGAACATTTATAACGCTCCTACTATGAGCCCAAACTAGTGTAACTTTGTAGCTATAGGGAAAAACAGTGGCCAGCATCTTTGCTAATAGAAATAGTTCAGGCACGGTGCTTACTTGTCTCGTCTTTGGAGAGTGTTCATGGCTTTAGCTGTTAACTGCAATTCTTTCCTCAAGAAAAGGGACGAAGCTGAGAGAGCCCGAGAGATGGCTAAGAGATGCTCAACTAATCCCCACCCCCTCTCTTTTCTTTTTCTTTCAACGGACTCCTGCTCTCCAGCTCTGGCTAGCTTAGAAGCTGCTCACAATGTGGCCCAGGATGGTTTTTAACTTGCTGTGATGCCCCCTGGCCTCTTCCCCAATGTTGAGATTATAAGTGTGTGCCAGCAGACCCAGAGCCCACAGATTCCTAGTACCTAGTTTATACAAACGGTCTCCATTTCTTCCTCTCTCCAAACAGGACTACTTTTAGAAACTGTATATGCATGCCTCCTGAATCTCCTCTCTAGGCTACTGCAAATGTGTGTTCATGAGTTTTTTGAGCTTGTGTTTGTCATTGGGGTTCAGGTGCCAGCATTTGCCTTTGGAGATAATAGGCAGGGGAGAAGGGTACTTTTGACATTTAGTGTGTTTATTCTCCTTGCAAATCTTGGAAATAACAGGGTTCAAGTTTGCAAACCCAAAGCCTGACTATCTTTGAGGAAAGTTCCTCTCACCTGACTTGAAATTTTAAGCCACATTCCCATTCATACCCCACCTTAAATTCCACTCTCTAACTGCCACCCTAAATCATCAGTGACCGGCCGCATCAATACGTTGACAGAGAAGAGAGTTTTGAGACCGAGGCCTGGAATGGTTCTGCGTCCTGGGGCTTAGACGGATGGCTTCAAAGGACCTGTTTCAGGCTGCAGAAGCTTTTGCCGAGATCCAAAAGCCCTGACCGGTGAGGGCAAGAGGGCCTTGCTCAGCCCACCAGCCCTGGAGGGAACGGCCATTGCTTTAAATTGTTAAAATGAGCAAAGCTTGGCAGGTACCACGTCCCAGTTCAGGAGTTTAATAAACCTGACCTACAGATTCTTCTCAGAGTACCTCTCTGAAACCGTGTCCTTCACCTCAAACGTTTGCCCGAGTGAAACTTCAGTGGTCTGAGGAAAACAACAGAGGAAAAAAAGAATCTTGGAAGATAAAAAGTCTTCACTAGATAATTCAGTTCAGTTTTGGAAAAGCGTTGTTTTGCTTTTGTTTTTTGTTTTTCTTTTGTTTTGTTTTTTAGATTCAAGTTCTAAATGAGTCATCTAAAAATCTTTGGAACTTGAAGACTAGAGAAAGCTCAAAGAAGACCGTGAAAGCTAGCTGGAGACTGAATTTTCCCTGGAGTCATAGCTGATGATAGGAATCTCAAATACAATACAGGTAAATTCAGATTAAGTTTTGTGTCTTCTGAACACAAGAGGCAAGATGTGGAGTTATATATTCTGGAGGTGAATCTAAAATTCGTTTAGCCCTCAGATGCCAAAGTATACAATGGGGTTCACGTTTCATTTGGACGGAACCCAGTCAATACTTTATAAATAATAAAAAAAAAAAAAAAAAAAAAACTGACCAAAATGTGTCAGTTTAGCGGCACAGGCAGATTCCTAGGAAGTTAAAAAAAAAATCCAACTCCGTTGGAACATATTTATTTTAATAAACTTCGCTGGTACAGGAACATCGAGGCTGTTCTTCACTGTTTGGGGGAAATGATAAGACAGAGAGGGAGACAGCGGGGAGAGCAGGACTATTTAGTCTTAATCTCCAGCGTGCCAAGCTCTGACCATGAACAGGAGTTTAGGAGACAGTCCGCGCTCCCCAGCCCCAAGCCAGACGCCCCCCTACTCTGCTGGGTGGAAATCAGGGAGGAAGAGAACCTCAACACGAAGTTAGCCCTTTAAGGAAAGAAAGCCTATCTGCTGCAAATCTTTCGCACACCCTCAGAATATTTAATTCGCATCTTCTCCGCGGTTCTCTTCCTCGGGACAGCTTTTACGGAAATTATCTTCAGCAGGTTTCATAAAGTAGTAGGTGTAGGGAATTAATTTTGAAATATTCTTGTCTGTCAAAAGCAACATTAATTTATCCGACACTTCCTTTGTCTCAGGCATCCGAAAATAAAGATTCATCGCCGGCCTTCAACTACCCCAACGCAGGTCCCAGAGCAGCGATTTTCACAGCTGCAGGATTGGGTGTCTTCCAGGAGTGGAGGGCTGCCTTTGACACTTACACAGGCGGTAAACTTCAACTCCGGGGTAGTAGAATCATGTTTATGCGGCTTGAATACTTGCAAGCCATTAAGGTGGGGTTTTTACACCTTGCCCAAGCGCCTGAACTTGAGCAGGATCTCATTTGGTTTTCAAACACATCACTCAGTACAGGCGGAGACTATCTCTGTCTAACCAAGGAGAAGCCTCGGAATAGGAAGCTGCCCAATCACGCAAATAGGAGGACAGACACCCTCGAATTCCCCTAGGGCCTAAACCTACACCTTCCCGAGCTGCCCCCCGGCCGAAGCTTCAGGTCACTGGAGCCCGGACCCTTCTTGGAGCAGCCGCGCACGCGCGCCGTGCGCTCCAAGGTGAGGGCACTCCTAGTAAACTGTGAAGCGCTCCACACAGACCTGGGCGTTTGCAACCTCAAGGACCGATCGCCGGATCCCAGGGGCTAGGAGGGGCCGGGGGAGGGGCAGAGAAGGCTGTAGACGGGCCAGGGCTGCGGGTAGGCGCCAGGCGCGGGGAGATGAAAGGCGGGCTCCGGGGGAAGGGGCTGCGCCGGGTGACCGGCTCCAGCCGCGCCGGGCGCCCCGCCCCCGCTGCCCCGGGCAGAGGCGGCTGCCCGCGCCGGAGCCGCGTTAATTGCTCTCGGCCCGGCACTCAGCCTGCGCGGAGCCAGGACAACCTCGCTCCAGGAGGAATGACAATTCGCCCTAATGGGACAACCTCACTCCCGGAGGAGTGACAATTCCTTCTAATGGGCCGCTTGTTAGAGGCCTATTCTCCGAACCCGGGTATCAGAAGCGGGCAGACAAATGGGCGCCAGGGTCCGCCAGGAATTCCACCGCTGCCCTCCAATCCGTGGACTTCGCTGTGTGACTTCGGGCAAAAGATGGCTCCTCTCTGAGCGCTCTCTTTCTCTCTCTCTCTCTCTCTCTCTCTCTCTCTCTCTCTCTCTCTCTCTTTCTTACCTGTGCGCGGTGGGAAGAAGGCTTGAGGCAGATCAAACCTCCAACTGGGCAGACAAATTCCGAGGCAGCTGGGGAAACCCCTGAGAGTTGCTCAGCAGGAAAGTTAGGTAGATATTCAGGGTCACAATAGTGTTTCTCTAGGCCTTGTTCACATGCTTGACCAGGGACTGGAGTGGAAGGGCTTTGGCCTCCGCCCCAGATAAATACTGAAGGCTTCCGTTCTGTTGGCTTCCTAACTTTTGAAGTTGAGGGGCAGAAAAGAGAGGGACCTGAGAACTCAGTCCTACCCTGGACCCCTGGAAGAAGCCTGGGATGAGGGGCTTGCAGAGTGAGGTTCATGAACAAACAAGTTGCAGGTCTGCCAGGCCTGGAGCCCCAAGGGAGAATGGCTGCATCTCGGAGTCTTCCCTTAGCTCCTGGCCCAGATGTGAAGTGGCCAAGGGGGAGTGCGCCCTGATGAGGAGTCCTCGTAGACCTGTCTACAGGCAGAACTTTGCCGCCATTTGTTCCCTCTTTCAGAACAGAGCGATGGATGCACACCTTGAATCCCAGAACTGGGGAAGGTGAGGCAGAAGAGCGGCTCCAAGTTCAAGCTTGGGCTACATGACACCCTCCATCTCTTTCTGAGATAAGGTGGAAGAGATGTACTCAGTATTGGGTATCATTCGTGCGTGCTAGGACAGTAAAGTGAGAAGCGACACAGGATCCAGAGTACAGCCTCCCTGAACTGTTAGCTTTGAAAGGGATTGGGCCATGCACCTCCTTTGTACACCATGGTTAGTCAGCAAATATTGGCAGTCTCTCAAGGCATTGCCCCTATCTGCTTCCCTCTCTCTTCAGCTCTTCTTGATGAAGGCACATACCGGGTTGCAGTGATGAGTGGTGGGAGGTCTTGGGTGCAGAGGTGCAAGCCCCTGGTAATAGGTGCCCATCTCTTCAGAGATTCAGTATTGCGTCTAGTGAGACATGAGATTTGAAGGAAAGAGAAGTAGGTTAGAAACAGCAGACAGAGTCTCCCAGCTCTCAGGCGCAGCTTCCCGGCAGCTTCTCCACATTGGACAGGAGCAATATGCAGCTCAGATTTGTTTGCAGAGAAAAAAACCCAAAACCCACCTGTAAGATGGTTCTAGGAGATTGTGTGACTGCAGCCAGGAGGAACCAGCTGAACTGTTTAGGATGGCACTTAGAGCGCCCACACACCTGTCTCTGCTCCCATCCTCTTCGGGATACCCACATACAAAGCCAGAATAACTGCCATATGACCTTTGTAGTACCTCAATGTTTGCTTTCCTTCCTGGGCTA